GCAAGTCTTCAAATCTTTGTGATTCATTTGCAGTACAAATTGTTTCAAGTTTGAAAGTACATACGCTCTGAGCGCAAACTTTAATTGAGGTACAAATCAGATGGCCTCATTTGCTACTGATTTGCTAGCCAATGGCTTCTTGATTGTGTCTACTCAGTCCATAACTCATCACTTTACACAATGCGTCCCTGATGTGACAAACGTCAAACGAAGGATGTTGGTGTCGTGGCCTTTTGATTCGCTTAAAAGACTTCAAAATCATTTTCCAAACAACCTATTTCTATTTGGACGAATGGCAATATCTGCACTTCTATGAGCATCTGTTAAAATATTTGGTCTATTTACTCTATTTCTAACTTCATTCATTCTCCAAACCAAACGCCCTCCACAGCAGCAATCTATTTTTTCAACACTACGTTACTAACGTGCCTAAATCAACATAGTACCTACTTCCGCCACTTACTGCTTTTTCTTAATAATTTCACAATCTCTACGTTTGAGTATGAAACTTATGAATTCATGTTAATTTTCCCTCTTCTTCTTCATCTATATATTTTAGAACCAGCGCCTAATCTTTGTTATGATACATTCCTCATTTCCTTATCAACCTATACAAATTCTGCTTATTTGACATTACTTTTTCCATCCTTGAATACATATGTGTTAAGAAAGATGAAATGAAACTACTTCTTTAGCATCTTGCTGAGGTTAACTAGCCTGGAGAAATTTTCACCAGTTTACGCTTCGTCTTCCTCAGAAGGTCCACCATTGATATTTCAGAAACCAAATCTTCAAGTTTTGCGCTCATTCTCTCATAGTCTTCTTACTCTATGAGAGATAGACCCAAGCTTTTGAAAAATCAGTTACTCAGCACTGCTGGCTGATATATCCTCATCTTCAATCATGAAGCAGGACAATTCCCAGTCCAACATGTACAGTAATCACTTCTTTCGCGTTATCCATGCCGCCTTCATACACATGCATTTAGAAAGATGAAATATAAACTACTCCTCTGACATGTTCCCATATTCAGTTGGCCAAATGATTTACAATGATTTGCTGTTCCTCCTGACGGGAAATCTCATCACTAAGTTTTTTGATTCCAAACCTTGACCTTATCTTCATTTCCTTCATGTCTCTATACTCTATGCAAGAGAAATGACTACTTTGAGCATTACATCATATTAGTGCTCGTAACCACACGTTCACGCTTCAGGTTTGACCTCCCCCGACTCAAGATCATATGATTATCATCTCTTCTTTGATGTCGGCCATTACATCTGTAAATGAAAAAAAAATTCATTTTTTCATTTTTTATTTTCTAATAAATGAAAATTACTCCTCTTTTATTCTGCTGCCTCTCCGGGTACATCCGATAAAATTCGAACGATGCAGAGAAGATTAGCATGGCCTGTGCGCATTAACAACGTACTAATATAAAAAATTAAGCCACAGAATAACAAGCGGACGTGCCGGAGTGGTTAACGGGATTGACTCGAAATCAATTGGGCTATGCCCGCGCAGGTTCGAATCCTGCCGTCCGCGCCTTTTCTTGCTCAAATCTATATCCATTGCTTATACTCTCCACGTAAAGCTTTTGCACCATTCAACTTTCATTCTATTTTTTGAAGTGAACACCATATGCATACTGATATAAATTATGCGTTGAGTCAAAAGAGCTGGTTCAACGTGTAGGAAAGTTTTTAACAGCCTATGCAATGCAGAACCTTCTCATTCAATGAAAATCTTCTACACTCCTTTGCTCACACCATCTCATTGCACTACTTCTTTCCTTGACCAAATATTCCCTTTATCGTCTACGCGCTTCTTCGAATAGCACTGGGTAGACAAATTTACATTCCAGTCAATAAAAGGCCACTTCCAGGTCTTTAGAATCAAATGTGCCGCATCCATCTGGTGAGCAGATTATAGCGCACATTTGTTTAGTGTCACAGAGGTTGCTGAATCTCTTTCCGCAATGACATTGCTATTCCAAATTTCTTCAGAATTTCTATCTTAATCTGGTTGTTTATAGTCCTTCGAACAGATCATCCAGCTATCAACTTCTGCATGCCTTACGCGCTAAGACAGTCCCTTCATTGTTTGCACATTGTCCAGTGATTCTGATCTTCATAATCATGTTATTCTTTCCCTGTAGGCTCCCTACAATATTTGTAAGAATACATTGCCTCTTCGTAGTAAGATAAGCTTTTCTGTAATAAATTGAACAAATTTGTCCTAACTAGCTATTATTATTTGTTAGTAGCTCAATAACCCTAACTCCTAACACCCTGCAAAGCTTTTCTAAAATTAAAATTAATAAAATGTTCATAGTTTATGGTATTACATCATATGTGATTATCATATGATTTTAATTTGACATGATCTCAAACTTCAGTTGACACGTCTAATTACGCTAAGTGATTTCATAAGCGTATTTCTAATATATATCAAAAGAATTATACTGTAAATATCGTTAAAATATTCGTTCAATATCAGAGTTCTATACTTGTAGAATAGAGTGAATTGATTATGTTTCAGAGATTTTTAGTACCTTATTTCGGAATGAATTCTTGGGAATTGGTTTTAAATTCTTTCCCCACAAGTAATTGATTGTACTGTTAACGCGAGTTTTAAATTATTTCTTGGATCTAGTGTGCCAGCGAAGCAGGCACAGTTTTCATGCCCTTGCGTAGTTTAGAAATCCATCTGTACCGATAGAGTATTCTTCCGCCTGATTCTCAAAAGCACTAATCTCATGTGTACTTTCGTAGATTCTGAAATCCTGGTGATTTGTATCAACCAGGCGAGAGGGTACTCTTGTCTACGTGGACGGTTTACCACACAAAATCCATGTCAAATTGATGATTTGTAGCCCCGTTCCCCGCAACTCGCTTCCTGCATGTTACCGTAGCTTGCCCACCTTAAGGTCGAATTTGACTTATTGGCCAGCTGGTCAATAACCAGTGTTAGAATGATGATCATGAGTTTGCAGGACCACAATAATGCCAGTGATACTGCCTTCTCCAACTTTTGGTTACTTTTTATAGACACATTCCATCAACTCGGGACTGGTGACTCGAGGCCAAGCGTAGCTGCAGCTGGCAGTACTCGTAATCCTGCATCCGAGTCATACATGGCCATGAGTCGTCGGCTGGAGAGCGCTCGCTCGAGGTCCTTCGATTTAGCATTTGTAATAAAGGACTTAGTGTCCTTTATCCAACTCCTAAGCAGATTCTACAAAGATGGCTTGTTTAGAATAACAGTGACTACGCACCTACCCAGATCTAGATCCGAGACGCGGCAGGTACAGTATGCGCTTTTGCATACAGCATTGAGGATTGCAGAGGGTCAATTGAGTGATACCATTACAAAAGGTTGACATGTCAACTTCAGCTTTCGGGACGTCAGAGGATGAGAGCTGGAACTTTGATTTGTCACCAATGTCAGCTTTTCACAGCGTTTCCTTCCTTGACTCATCCTCAGATTCCCAGAAACAAAAAATCACAGTGAATTTTCACAAACATATACAATGCACATTAACATGATAATGAGTGAATCCAAACACGCGTGCTGTTGAAGAAATATGTCATGGGCATTAAGAATTTCAAAGTTTTGAAAACGGTTTAGAGTATTGTAGTGCGCACCAGCTGTCAATATATGGATGGCTCAACTCCAGCTTGCTGATATGGAATTTTATGATGCAGTGAGTCATAGATTCACGGCACTCAGCTGGGCCATGGAACCCTCCCAATTTACTCTTCCCAACATATTTCAAGGTTTGGTTGTTGGAAGTCTCTACGTTTGATGGAACAAGAGCATTTCCTCATTAAATATAAAGTCGTTTGAGACTATTTCTGCTTCCTCCTTTGAAGTAGTCTTCTGTAGAAGTACGCAAAGCTGAATGATGTCCACTGCATCATCATGAATGGGAGCCAAAGTCTGCGAAGGCTCAAAGGCATCTGATAAGAAAGAAGAATTGACAAGGACTCGGAAAGAAGACAGTGGAAGGAGTCAGCCACGTATCACAATATACAGTTCAACTTTCCATGTACATGTAGTCAACAAGTTACCGTCTACAGTGACCGTTGGAACGAAGGGCAGTCAATGACGGAATAACTGCACATCCTCATTTTCACCTACTACACCAAATGTCGTGTACTGTTCTAGAAGGTAGGATTGCGACGGATCTTGACGGAAGGTAGCGAGGGTCCACTTTGTACATTTTTTCTTGAATATCTTTTTTTTATCTGGATAATATTGTGCGGAAATGAATATGCAGAGCTACAAAACTTCTGAAAAGGTAGCTGGTTCTCGGCCTCCGTATTCATCCAGGTGCCTTTCACTCCTCGATATTCTGTATTTAATGTTATGTAGACTACCATCTTCCGTGCTGTTTTATTAAAGCCAACACTTCACACTGCGGGTGCAAGAAGCTTGAATTTCAGCTTTTCTTGTACAACGAATGAAACTCGCCGTCGATCGTTTGTCCATTCGTACTTGTCATTATCTAGGCTGTCTGTCCTTGTCTACCTCTGAGGTCGCATCTTTCAGCATTGTCTGCAGCTCCTTTACTTCTTTCGAATTAAGCACTACGTAATTTCGTGCCTTGTAGATTTCGACCTCAATTTATATGAAATATGTAGCATCTCTTGTTGTGTTTGGTCCTGAGTGCCTGAGGCTGTTATCCTCCATAGTACATTTCGTTTAAGCTGTTTTGTTGTTTGTTGATACGATCACGAAACAAAACATGCCTTCGGAAGTTTGCTAAGCGATTCGGGGTAATTAAGAGTCAGTGACAGAACCAAGTGTTTTCCATACAAGTTGGCAATACTAACAGCATCAACTCATGCTCCTCGCCTGGGAAGTGCTTCTTCCAGTGAACTAAGCAGGTATATATGTCATATACAATTATTGGAACGAGACCCAGTGGCACATTAGTTGGCAATACAATGATTGTAAAGCACGCAAAGTATGACATGCCGCTGCCCGAGAAGAAGAACTGTCTCCAGCTCAATTGCTTCATGCTTTCGTTGATGACTCCAGGCACACATTTTATTTCAGGAAAATTTAGAATTCCAGATTTCTTTGACGGCAACGAGAGCCGGCCATGGATTGTAGAACTCTCAGCTTGATTCTAACTTTATGAAGGAGAAGCAGTAAATATCGGTGCGATGGTAACAACTGATGTAAATCTCGGATCGAAGGCTACTTGACGACGACGAGGAAGCAGATAGTGAGAAAATGGAGGGGCGTGAAAAAATTCTAATTGTGCTGGTGGTCAATCCTGTGAACCCGGAACTGACCTCAGGTCAAAGACGAGTTAGTAACGATTTCGCGTTCGAGGAAATTAGTGGTCCCGCACTTGCATTTGCAAGTAGGGAGCAAAAAGGTCGAGATTCGCCATGACTAGAAAGATAGCTCGTTAATCTTGATCACGCATTGTGTGCACTTGTCCACGTGAAGGACAGATCCTGCTAGCATCTGAGAAGCTCCAGTTGGAGAGGAAATATGTTACTCAGCGACCGGACAGAGGACAGCCTTTGAGGTCCTCAAATTGTAAGTACTGTAGAATTTGAGCGACACTTGCAGATGGTGCAGGACTGTCAGGTACCACCAGTCCTCGGGTCTCATTCTCATACCTGCCTTCTGCCTCTCTTGACGGCGGATTGGAGTCGTCAGTCTCTTTTCCTGCACTATATATCAGTGTCACCGTGTTCTGTTGGTGACCAGGATTCCCCGATGCAGTATCTCAAGGATAGGCACGGATGGAGGAAAAGGTATGGGCTTGAATCCCGGTGGGCCCAATGGGAGCGGAGGAGAAGGGAATTCCGCAGTATTTCCTTAGAGAGCAATTAGAGCGGCAGTTCGATCGATTCACTCCCTTCTCCCGAACTATCGTAGAAAGACGAGCGTAGAAGTCATGACAAAATCTATCCTCAGTCCCAGAATTCCGGTAAGAAGTCGCAAGCGATCGGACGAAATCTGATTCTTTGTAATGCTCACCGGGATTGTCGTTAGGAAATCGCTTGATGCTGACGGCAGTTTGGAGAAGCCGCATTAATTGCGAGTTCAAATTCTAATCTCTCCGTTTGAGGCTGTAATATGGTTTCCACATATCAAGATATATAGTCGATCGTGGTCAGTGGGGCCACAAGGACGCGCAAGGCTGATGGTGCTTGCTCGTACATACGTAAGCGTATCATAAGACTCTCCGATGAATGATGAGGTTTCGAAAGCCGCTGAATCGTCCGCACCAGTCTGAGAGCTTCCTTCGATTTTTCTCAAGGTAATACACGAACTGCAATCGAAGTTCGGATACAGAATCTGTCTGCTGCTGGTTCACACGAGGTCTTAGCTGTGGTGATTGTCCATCCCTCAGTGTAGCAATGACGAATTAAGGTCATAGTTGCTAGCTTTCTGACGATTTCCAATCTGTTCTAGCACAATGCAGATATCCTTGAGGTTCGAATTTCTGGCGAAGACAAACATTACACAGAAGGGAGACAGGCTTGTCGACTTTTATCGGGCGATCTGTGGTGTCCTTGCTTTGGAAGCCTTAGGCAAGCTTTCGCAGAGATGATAACCAAACATGCTCACTCTACATCCTTGTGATATAAACCGTTGTTTAGTTTTCGTTGATCCATTCTCGGAGAGGATTTCAGCACTCAAAAATCATAGCACTCTCTCCCTGGACAACCCTCGAGCTCTTGATCTTCCTAGACGGGATTGCCATTTCTAGGTCTGATTCAGACTCGTCTGACTTACCTGCATGTAGCTTCTCACAGTTCATCTCAAGCTGTTGCTTACAGAATGGTCTAAGTTGGTGCTCTCATGATAGAAGACCCGCTCGCTCGCTCGCATCTGGGACTCATGGTAAACCAGAATTTAGCCTTAGAAGGAGTCCATCCTTATTTTAGTAATGTTAGGAATCTTCTGAAGTGAAGTGCAGTACTCTCAAACTTGCTTACAAGAGAAATGCAGGGGCCGCCTCTTTCAATCTTTAACATCTGACCAGTTTCCATTTCAAACATGTCCAAGCCTTCTCAATAGTCCTTCAGATCTTCTAATCGAAACTTCAGGTCCTCTATCTTCATTCTAGCATTCTAGCTTCTCGGCATCAGTATTGAGCAATCGACGATCCCTACGCGCTTATGCATAGCAAAGAGGAGATTCGGAGCTCTCTACGAGCATGCAGCAGGTACAAGCATCGTCAACAACCCGAGCACGTTCAGAGGCAGTCGAAGCGGAACAGTATAGAAACGCCTTCAATATTCACAGGTGGGTTATGTTCGATCGAGGAGAATTACATGAGAATCATGCTAGGTTCAGAAACTCTTTGATTTACTAAGTAGACGTGCTAGCCAAATTTGATAGAAGAGTCTGATCATGAGGCATGATCTGATCCTAGGTCATCTTTGCCTGTTAATGCAAGAATGGAGTTTACCCTTTTGGCAAGGACTTTCCTGGAATCTCACGCACTTATTTTGCTATTTTGTGTTCAGAGGTAGACGTCGAAACCAGTCCTTGATGTACAAAGTACAACACTTGAGATTCTTGAGCAGTACAGATTTTGATGGAAAGAATCGAAGCCGGAGTAGAGATGTCTTCCTTCAATTTCCACGGTGGAGATTTCTGTCAGTCTGAGATGGGTGCATATGCTGATCAAGAAGATCAGGACATACGAGCGGAGATGCAGGCGATCACTGATCCAGGTCTGAACAATGTACTACTTGGTCTATCGGATGCGCTGGACACAATACCACGATCTCGCTACGTCGGGCTTACATTAGGAGATCTTCCATTGACGAACATGAATGGATCCGGATCGGAGAATTTCAATGCCAACCGTGCAATGTCGGATCAGCAGAACATGGCCAACCATGATCATCCTCCAGACGGGCTTTCGTTCCCAGTGGACGCTTCGCACCGACAGGGCGAGAATGATAACCATCTCGCTATGCAGGAGATTAGAATGATCCATCAGTCGGAACTGGAGAATGAACAGCAGCAGGAGCGGGAACAGCAGCATCATCAACATCATCAACATCATCAACTCATGACCGAAAATGGTCCTACAGACGCCTTTCATGAACAGTCCTCTGAAACAAAAAATTGTCCAGGCTACAGTTATGACCAGAAGAGTGGAGGGCATGGATTTATGACGGCCTGGGAAGAGAGTGTGAAATACATGGAAGATTTGCGGCAGCTGCAGGAATTACAAGCTCAGCAACAGCCTCGTGCTCAGCCAATTGCAAATAGAGTACAGCCCAACAACGACATTTTCAGCTTGGAGAACTTGGGAGGACTCTCTGCTGGAATTCAAGCTTTCAACAGCTTCTCTGAGCTCGAAAAAATCAGTGAAGGGCATGATCTAAAAGACAAGTTGCCTGCGGAAGTCTTCAATCTTCTTCAGCAGCCTTCGCATTCAATAAGTCCTTCATGTTCTACTGGGCTAGCATTTGCCTCGAGTTCTGGATCAGTGTATCCATCGGTCTCAAATTTCAAAAGACCCACTGGGCCAGTGAACTCTTGTCATGTGCATGTTCCGATGCCAAATCCACATGGTTATCAGCTAATGGACAGGGGGACAAATTCGAGTCTCTTCGGTGGTAATGGTATACAAGCTCCTGCAGTGGCATATCCAGGGCCTTTTACAAAGCTCTTAAATTACAACAATGTTCCAGGAGGTAGCTCAAGAAATTATTCCAAGATCTTCAATTACAACTCTCCTGCAGCTAGTGGCCCTGGGTTTTTTCCTACAGATCTTCCCCCAACCAAATCTGGTTCCAATGTCGATCTGCTGCAGCTGGAGTATGGTCATAACGAGGAGCTTCAAGATGTTTTTGGTGCTGCTCAAATGACAGCACCATCTCACTTCTTGCCTGAGATACCAAGACGTACTAAAAGCGCTTCTGGAAGGCTAACTAACGAAGCTGAGCAAAAACCACTGCACCATTTTGCCACAGAGAGACAAAGACGGGAACATTTGAACGAGAAGTATCAGACCCTGCGATCTTTGGTTCCAAACCCTACTAAGGTCCGTCTACATCCTTGGAATTTTTTATTAGATCTTAGGTCTGCTCTTGTACTTCTTCGCTATCTCTTCTAGTATATGCATATGCATTCTGATATAAAGTTATCCTCATTGTTTGTTGTATGTCCATGCCTGTAGGCTGATCGAGCTTCCATTGTCTCAGATGCTATCAATAGAATACATGATCTGAAAAAAGAAGAAGAAGGTTTGATGGATGAAAAGAAAAACAGACAACTTCGGAGACAATTGAGGCTTGAGATGAGAGCCAATGGAAAACGTCAGAGAGCTGAGGAATCCGAAACAGCTGTCAAAGAAGACGGAGAAAGCTTGTGTCTGAAAGCACTGTGGAGCAAAAAGGTTTCCAAACATGGGACGGAGATCGAAGTTCGCATAGTTTGTGATGAGGTGGATATCCACATCAGGCAGAAACATATGCCCCGATTTCTTATCCGAGTAATAACAGCCGTAGAAAGAGGGCTGAAGCTTGAAATCCTTGATGGAACTGGCGGTGTTATCCACAATTGTGATGTTTACAGATTCAAACTGAAGGTAATATATCTTCATCTGAGAGACTCTGGACATATGAAAAACTGGAACCCAGGTTCTATTTTCTGTCCTCCTGAAAACAGTACATCTTGCTGTATATTTCAAGTTCTAGTAGCTCTCGAGTTTCTACTCGAGTAGCTTGTATCTGGAACAGTTTTTTGTTAATAGTTTTGACTATAAAGTGTACTTTTTTGCCAGATTCAAGGAGATTCGTGCGCTTTCATGGGAGTAATCATGGCGAAACTTCTAGAGATATTGGATACGGTTTTCTGAAGAACGATTCTACTCTCACTCCTATTTGCAAAAGCATATAACTCAAGGAGCTTCCAGGAATTTGAAACCTCAGGATCATGCACTTTAAAAGCCTGAATTGGTTTCTGTGATCTATTCTGATGATTTATATTCTATAAATAAATATTTGGTACTAGTACTGGTTCACAAGATGCAGGATCCTGGAAGCATTTTTTGTACAGATGGTCATATTGGCATTTGGATCTTAGTATAAAGATTCTTGCTCAAATGGTCTGCGGACTGGATGACAGCAGTACCAGGAAAGATAAATTATGCTCGACATGTAAACGTCAGTCTATCTGCGTTTTTAAAAATTCTAAAGTTTGACAATAAATCCACTTTATACTCAATTTCTTGCTTCAGTAATTTCTTGCCATTGAAATATGAACGATTATGGTGCCCTCGTCCTTTTACAACTAGTAAAGTCCCTATTTTAACTTATATTGAATCTTTACAAAGGTCGTATTTCCTCAAAGTTGCAGAAAAATATTTCTTTTGAAAGATCAAGACAAGATCGACCTGCTAGTGTGTTTGCTTCATCCAATTTCGTACATTTTGAATTTAAAAAGCTATCAAATAAAAACTTATATTGGAGAGCGTGTACATCTGAGTAATAGTATTTCAACTTCATTACATGAAAATTGAAATTTTCAAATTATGGACTATTTGTACGCCAAATCTGCAAATTTTATATATGCAGGACATCTAAATGCCAGGCGGATGTATTTTACATCTTGTTATCTTAGTAGTCAATGAGGGCTCATCGGAATATCTACAGTAAGAAGGTTTTATTTAACGTAGTCAAAGTAAATTCTCTAGTTTGGGATTGAAAAGATTTTCATAGTAGGTCTAAGCTTCCATTGATAGCCAAACAAGTCCAGAATATTCTTTTGGTAATTAGAGTATCTTTTAGCCTCCAAGTCAGGACTAAACTGCATTCATACATCACCAAAAACAAAAATGATTTTAATATTGCTCGGATTTTTGGCTTAAGTAGCTTCAGGTCTACTAAGGATAAAATTGTGGTTCAATTTCTCTTCTTTGGAGTTTGATTCCCAAGCTCTGACTTTCAAATTCTTTATTAAATAGTAGCATCCATGGTTTGAAAAGACTCACTTCTTGTTGATTGTAACCAGCTAAATTAAGGACAAACTGGAATTATTTGGAACGTTTACCATTTGAGATATTGATGCTGATAACACTGAATATTTAAAATATTGTACAATAGATTTCTTGCTACATCTACGAGTCGAGATAGTAGAAAAATAATACTTTTGATGTGCTTTAACTTGAATTTGTATGGAAATAGCAAACCATTAACTGATGCTATGATTCAATAGCTTTTGTATTTCTAACAAAAATTAACAAATGAACCTGACTCTCACAGGCGGACGTGCCGGAGTGGTTAACGGGATTGACTCGAAATCAATTGGGCTTTGCCCGCGCAGGTTCGAATCCTGCCGTCCGCGCTTTTTCTTGCTGAAATCGACATCCATTGCTTATACTTTCCACATAAAGCTTTGCACCATTCAACATTCATTCTATTTTTTGAAGTGAAAACCATACGCATACTGATATAAGTTATACGTTGAGTCAAAAGAGCTGGTTCAACGTGTAGGAAGGTTTTTTACAGTCTATGCAATGCAGAACCTTCTTAATCAATGCAAATCTTCTATACTCCTCTGCTCACATCATCTCATTGCACTACTTCTTTCCTTGACCAAATATTCCCTTTTCCGTCTATGCGCTTCTTCGATATAATATTGCTCGGAGTTTTAATAACTTTTATACCATAAACTGATGCAATGAGTCAGTAGTTTTTTCTTCTAAAGGTAGAACAATCTGAGAAGAGCGAAATTTATGAAGCTTAATAAATATCAGATTGTTAAATCTCAACTTGAACAGTGATAAAGCTAGGGACAACAACAGTCCGAGGGAAAGACTATGCTATAATTCTGAACATCTTTAGAGCATTGTAATACGGGAGACTTAGTTTTTAGGAGCATGAGGATTCTTTGTCGAAGCACTAGATGTGCTCGGATAGCTATGTATGTGAAGTTTCTCTCATTAGATACATGATGTGCCAATCATCAAGCATGTGACTGTATGGAGGGAACGGAAGTCCCACAATCTAGAATCAATACTTCTACGTGCCACACGAGTTCTTTCTGGGATTTTTCAAAACAAACCTTCCACTCGACTTCAAGAATTGTTTCAAGTAAAGTGATAGACCACGAGTGTCAAGGATAGATCTATCTCAAAGATATAAGAAAACAAAAATTTGTTAATTGCATCTCTAACCTGCCACAGTTCGGAGTAAGACTACCCACCCACCAGCTTCAGACTCTGCTGACTCCTATATGAGATGGCCCCCTTCACAACCCTACCTTGTTCTCCAAGTATAACTTCCTTCCTCATGTTTCCTCTTGCTGCGCTGAACCCACTTGTAAAAGAACTCCCTAGCTTTTTCCTTTCTCTCTTCTTGAGCTCCGCTAATTCTCAGATACAGAAACTTTTCCACCAGTATGGCTATTTCAACATTGGGGACAATATTTTTTTCATTTTTCTCACTTGTGCGTGCACAGCTTGCTCTCCTCTTGGCTGCACTCCCAGGACAGAGAAATTCTGTTTGGTATGCGGTTTTAGTGTTGGTTCGCTTCACAACTATACTCCTGTAAAACCAATGCATAGCATACTTGGCTTGGCTGTGCTTGCCTCTTGGTGCCTCTTGGTGCCTCTTGGCTGCTCCAAATTCTACACTCACTTCGGAATTCGTGTCTTGTATACTGCTTCCTTGAAGGTATTTTTTTTGCACAAGGTACTTATATCGCATTCATCTCTGGTTCATTTGCTTCTATGTTCGTATACACGTCGTCTCTCATTTCCCCATCCTTTCGCTAGCTGGCTGATTCAACTCGAACTGACTCCATTCCAAAGTCTACAGAGGGTAGGCTTCATGATCAGTCTAGATAATGTCCGTGATTTCCTATAGATACCAAGATTGAGGAAAAACTTTGCACAATGGACGGCAAGGTATGGTCGGAATTTTTATGTAATGACCTCAATGAGACTCCTCACTCATGAGTCTGAATTGCAACCCTCAGCTTGGACTCTCTGGGAATATTTAAGTCCAATTTTTTACTCAATTTTCCAAGATTGAAAATTTCACGCAAACCACAATATGAAAGTGCTTTGATCCACGGAGACTTAACATATTTCTCTCATCCGCTGACATCGATCAGTCAGGTCACTCCGCAGTTTCCACCATTCGATCCTCTCAGAACACACATATTCACAAATAAAGCACCTGCCTATATACGTGAGCAGGTTCAGAAACTACATCTATTTCAAGTGGCCCGCTGGTCAGCTCACAGTCAACTTACTCCAGCTTCCAGAGGGCCCAATTTGACATCCAGTGAGCTTTATCGCCCATGTTTGATAAAAAATACCACAACTGATAAAATTTCATGCTTCATATGTCGTATTTCTGCACTTTGAACTCCCAGGTCAGAAGAAAGGCTCGGAGGCTCGGAGTTCACAATGATTTGCAGAAAAGTTTACAGTTCCATGTGTACAGTTGCATGATATCTAAAATTAAAACGGAATAAATATGAATTTCCGGTCTTTCAAAGAAGTACGCAGTAACCGGGCATGGACTTTGTCCACCATAAGTGGGAAGATACCTACCTCACTCGGCAAGTCAGAACTATTCAAAGAGCCATTCATGGAAGGTGATACTGTAGGCACTGATAAAATCATTGAGACCACTAAGTCAGTCTCAGGTCCTGGTAAACTTTTGTGCGAGGAGTAACTTGAATTAACTATCACCTGTTACCATCAAATGTAGGTAACCATAAGGTTCATCTCTCTTTTTAATGCAAGAGCTGTAGCTAGATACATGGTCTACACATTTTACGTTCAGAGCCCGGGAATTCTCTCCTGGGTTTGACAGCCAAAGACCCGAACATAGTCAAGATGAGGGTCGACACGGAGACTACTCTCTCCTGAGTGCACTCTTTTGCGAGGTGATCTCCAAGCTACTGACTAGTAAGGATGTGGTAGGTTCCAAGGCCGAGAAGCTTGGGAAAGTTTCGAACATTTACGAAGATCACGAGCCAAAATGGGATCAACTTCTTGGGATCGGTACTTCTTTTCATTGCAGACATATTTCATGCTGCTACGATATATTCACCCCGCCAATTCAGCAGAAGAAGCTTTCTTCACGAACAGACCTCATATTCGTTCTTGATACTAAGCTTTACATGCTAGACCCGCAAGGCAGAAGATTATTGAAGTACCAGCGGCATCAGACTGGTCAATGCTCCAGAGAACACAAGGTGCCCTTGGGGATGCTCACACTCACTGCAAGTCAACCATGCGATTCCTTGTGAATGGTTCGTCTATCAGCTAAGCCTAAACGGTTCACAGGTTTTGAGCTTTCTAATCCATTCACGAGGCGATCAAAACGTGAGACGATTTTTAGTACATTTATTGTGGATGCTCCGGTATAAGCAGCTGACTCAGTTTGAAACAACAGTCCTCTCCATTAACGATTGTTAGTGGAGAGGGCCTATTCATCTGGCTTAACGTAATTCTGCCACTTTCTATTTCGATGTGAAATGTCACTACGATGTGAATCCGTCTATACGCGCAACTTCAGATCTCTGCGCCACTGGACGGGAGAGATACGAAGAGATGGCGACGCAAGGGACAGGAGCCTAATATGGAAGCAGACCCGTCGCGAGAATGCCACAATTAACTCCGAGCTTCACCAAAATGTCAATACAATGACGTGGAATCACCACCGAAAACCTCGTTATTGACACATGTCAAGTGCGGAGCTCGCTTTGCACCCACCAGCCTTCATGAACGTGACCTATGCGGCTTTCATGGAGGATGCAGAGAGTATCGAGTCTAATATTCTCCTCTTTTTAGAACATCAGATAATATTGCGCTGCATGGACCGAGGACAGAACTTTTCTCTATGTCCCCAACTTATTTCTCTTCAAAAATAAGAACAAAAATTGATAGATTTTCAAATCTTCAGCAAGTGTCAGATCTAAAACAAGCGATACACGTTTCTCTGACTTATTGCATTGTTCATGAGTTTTTTAACATAATAGAAAGTTCCATGTCTTTTTCATTAAAATTGCCCTGAAGCTCTTCCTTGCTTCTAGTTGAAAATGTAGAAAAAAATTTGAATTAAAGCCTGATTCCACTGATATATTCAAGATACATTTTATGAACGAATTTTAATATCAATATATCTATATGGACACCTTTTTCGAAAATCTTACATTGATGAGTCCATCACCGATAATTATCTCTTTAATTATC